TTAAATAAATACCAGAACTTGCCAATTCCCATCCAAATTGCCTACACCTGGGTCTAGGTGATAGCAATAGTTTAAACTTTATGAGCAATAGTGCAAAGTAACGAATACTCAAATACAATAAATTAAAAACACACTCCAACCATATTCATAACAGCACTTCAAGTCAATAAACCGACTAGATTATTTTACACTCCGAAATGATCAACTTATTTTTGTCCGATTTTAATTAAATTTGGTTTGAAGGTGTAAGGGGGATAAACTTGAATGACTTCACGAACCAGCATGATTGGACCAGGGTTTTACGGGGGGGGGGGGGGGGGGGGGGTGGGGTGGGTTTATGGGGTAAATCAAAACGCAAAGTTTCCCAATTTCTCTCTAGACCATTTTAAAGAACAAAAACCCATTATTTTGTATACCAAAGTGTTTTTGTACAGTTATTGGTTATGAGAAAAATTCTAATTCAAAATTCCCATGTTATTCTTAAAGAGTTTTGTAAAATGTTGTATTTTTCTTGTTAGTGGAAATATTTTTGATAAAACTTGGCAAATTTATATATTTTATACTAAGCTACTAATATTTTACCAAAAACACTTTATAACAAGCCTCCCTGTAGTAACAAACCTATAGGTACCCAATGGCTTAATGACTTAATGTTTTTTAAAATTGATTTCATTAAAGTCAATTCAGGCAAATGGAAATTCGCTTAGTCTGCAGGTTTGCTGCGGCGGGGGTATTTTGTACTTTCACATTTTCTCAATGTATGGCCAACAATGTACAATGTATGGTCAATGTTTGGTGCTTAAAGGTAATTTTGATAAAATGAGTTTTATATTTTATACATACACTGACTGAATGTATCTATTAAACTAGCTACTACTTGTTAACAATCCATTATCATAAAATTACAAACAACCTCACTATAATTTAGTTGAGTAAAAACACTACGTTTTGTTGACTTTTATATATTGAATATTGTAAAATTGGCACGAGGAAAATTGTTTTTCTACTATTTATAAATTCTTTTAAAAACTACCAAAATAAAACAATGCGTTATTTTGTGCGTGACGGTTGGTAAAAATGGTTTATTTTCGGTATTAGTCTGTCAAATAGAATGTACGTACTCTTCTTTACTTTATAACTATTTTAGAGTGCATTTTCTTTTTTTAAATATAAAAATGTTCTATCTTTTATTTTTACACGTTATACACTGGAGTTCTATAAAATGTAAGACTTTCGTTGACAAAATGATACACAGCTTAGATTCACTAGATGGTTGGTTTTAGGACTTAATACATATTCAACTTGTTCTTGAATAATCAATTTGTATTACAATTAGGACACAGAGATGGTCTAGTGAGCAGAGGTTTTGTCTGAAAGTTCAAATCCATCAATATAAGTTAGCTGGATAGCTGACTGGTTATGGTGTTCTGGCTGCCAGTTCAATCATAAAAACATACAAAACATTATTGAACCTTTTTTTATGTGTATTTAAGAATTGGTCATTTATGTAAAGAAAATGCTTCTGTAGGGGTTTCTGTTCACACAAAAACTTTAAGACAATTTTAATTTTCTTAAAGTTGTAATTGTATGCCTTAAAATTCAATTGTATTGCCACATCATTAATCCCAAAAGTGGTTCAGTACAGTAGGAGTAGCTTATATAAAATACAAAAAGAGTCACAAAGGAGTTTTTTTTTTCACTAGTAAATTCTTAATTGAACTTTCCTTTAATTAACTGGTTCCTGCCCTAAAATGGGAAAGTAATTTCTTCTTCATGGTTAGAGTATATAAACACCCAAAGGTACTTACAATGTTTAACATACCAACCAACCACAATAAATATGCTGGTAAGTACATTAATTGACTATACACCTCTCCTAATAGAGGTTTATTATAGCATAGACAAATATAAACAATATAGACTGTGAAAGGAAGGTCCTGGCACCCACCGCTAGGAGTGCCGTGTAGTTACGGCACACACCGCTGCAGCGGTGGGCGCCGAAACATATGCTAACCACAGCACTGCTGACGGTCTATCCTATACTCTAATACGAGCAAAGTTTGCTTGTATGTATGTATGTATGTATGTATGTATGTATGCTTGCACCAAGATCTCGAAAACGGCTCCGACGATTTTCTTCAAATGTTGTATATAGTTTATTACTGGCCTAAAAACGAGTTTACTGCAATTAGAACTGCCAACAAAAATCTAATTACGTAGAAAAATTAAACTAAAAATCACATTTTTTTTAACATTAGTCTTATGGGTTGCTAGGTAACCATGTTGGCTGAATTAAATAACAAGGAAAATGTAAACAAAAGATTTGTAAGCTATCTATCCACAGTATACATGCAAATCAAAATACAGCACAAAAGGAAAAACATCAGTTGTTACTATTGAGCAAAGATTATACTGAAGATTACTCGATTCTATAGTCAAGGGTAGCAGTGTGGAGTGTGGGATCTGTTTATGACGATTAGATTACGGTATCTGCAATCCTTAAATGCTATGGGAAGGGAGGGAAACATGCCCGCGACGTAGGAAGTAGTAAAGGCGAGCAGTCTGGAGTGTGGGAACTGTCTATTATGATTAGATTAAGGTATCTGCCATCCTAAAATGTTATGGAAAGGGAGGGAAAAAGGTCCACGACTTTGGAAGTGGTGAAGGAAGTAGTAAAGGCGAGCAGTCTGGAGTGGGGAAACTGTTTATGACGATTAAGTTAAGGTATCTGCAATCCTAAAATGTAATGGGAAGGGAGGAAAACAGGACCATGACATAGGAAATGGGGAAGGAAGTTGTAAGGCTAGCTGTGCAGAGTGTGGGAACCGTCCGTGGCATTTATGTATCTGCAATTCTAGTAGTATAAGGAAGAAGGGCAAACAGGTCTACGACATAGGGAGTGGTGAAGGAAGTAGTAAAGGTGAGCAGTCCGGAGTGTAGGAACTGTTAATAACGATTAGATCAAGTTATCTACAATCCTAAAATGCTATGGGAAGGGAGGAAGGAATCAGGTCCGCGACGTAAGAAGTGGTGAAGGAAGTAGTAAAGGCGAGCAGTCTGGAGTGTGGAAACTGTTTATGACGATTATATTAAGGAATCTGCAATCCTAAAATCCTATGGGAAGGGATGGAAAGAGGTCCGCGACGTAGGAAGTGGTGAAGGAAGTAGTAAAGGCGAGCAGTCTGGAGTGTGAAAACTGTTTATGACGATTAGATCAAGTTATCTACAATCCTAAAATGCTATGGGAACGGAGGGAAAGAGGTCTGCGACATAGGAAGTGGTCAAGGAAGTAGTAAAGGCGAGCAGTCTGGAGTGTGGAAACCGTTTATGACGATTAGATTAAGGAATCTACAATCCTAAAATCCTATGGGAAGGGATGGAAAGAGGTCTGCGACATAGGAAGTGGTGAAGGAAGTAGTAAAGGTGAGAAGTCCCGAGTGTGGGAAATGTTTATGACGATTAGATTAAGGTATCTACAATCCTAAAATGCTATGGGAATGGAGGAAAACAGGCCTGCGACGTAGGGAGTGGTGAAGGAAGTAGTAAAGGTGAGCAGTCCGGAGTGTAGGAACTGTTAATAACGATTAGATCAAGTTATCTACAATCCTAAAATGCTATGGGAAGGGAGGAAGGAATCAGGTCCGTGACGTAGGAAGTGGTGAAGGAAGTAGTAAAGGCGAGCAGTCTGGAGTGTGGAAACTGTTTAAGACGATTATATTAAGGAATCTGCAATCCTAAAATCCTATGGGAAGGGATGGAAAGAGGTCCGCGACGTAGGAAGTGGTGAAGGAAGTAGTAAAGGCGAGCAGTCTGGGGTGTGAAAACTGTTTATGACGATTAGATCAAGTTATCTACAATCCTAAAATCCTATGGGAAGGGAGGGAAAGTGGTCTGCGACATAGGAAGTTGTAAAGGAAGTAGTAAAGGCGAGCAGTCTGGAGTGTGGAAACCGTTTATGGCGATTAGATTAAGGTATCTACAATCCGAAAATGCTATGGGAATGGATGGAAAGAGGTCTGCGACGTAGGGAGTGGTGAAGGAAGTAGTAAAGGTGAGCAGTCCGGAGTGTGAAAACTGTTAATGACGATTAGATCAAGTTATCTACAATCCTAAAATGCTATAGGAAGGGAGGGAAAGAGGTCTGCGACATAGGAATTGGTCAAGGAAGTAGTAAAGGTGAGCAGTCTGGAGTGTGGAAACCGTTTATGACGATTAGATTAAGGAATCTACAATCCTAAAATCCTTTGGGAAGGGATGGAAAGAGGTCTGCGACATAGGAAGTGGTGAAGGAAGTAGTAAAGGTGAGATGTCCGGAGTGTGGGAAATGTTTATGACGATTAGATTAAGGTATCTAAAATCCTAAAATGCTATGGGAATGGAGGGAAAAAGGTCTGCGACGTAGGAAGAGGTGAAGGAAGTAGTAAAGGCAAGCAGCCCGGAGTGATGGATCTGTTAATGACGATTAGATTAGGGTATCTGCAATCCTGAAATGCCGTTGGAAGAGAGAGAAACAGGTCCGCGACGTAGGAAGTGGTGAAGAAAGTAGTAAAGGTGAGCAGTCTGGAGTCTGGGAACTGTTTTTGGGAATTACATTAAGGTATCTACAATCCTAAAAAGCTACGAGAAGGGAGGAAAACAGGTCCATGACGTAGGAAATGGTGAAGTAAGTAGTAAAGCTAGCAGTGCAGAGTGTGGGAACTGTCTGTGGCATTTATGTATCTGCAATTGTAAAATGGTATAGGGAAGGAGGGCAAACAGGTCCACGACGTAGGGAGTGGTGAAGTAAGTAGTGAATGTGAGCAGTGTGGAGATTGAGAGTGGATTAATGAATTTAAAATACTTTTCAGAGTAATCTAATAATTTTCCCCGAGCAAAGCTCGGTCCCCAGGTACTATTTATTCTATTTGACTATTATTATAGTCAATGGTACAAGGATTGTAGCTGTAGCAGGTGTAAAAGTAAAACAGGTGTTTCTAAAACTGGAATTACAGCAAAAATCATTGGGATCAGAATATTTTATTGATAATCACCCTATTGAACTTCACCACACAATAATCAAACTAAATAAGTAAAGAAACTTCACTTAATAAGTACTTTATGTACAAGACTAGACTTACTCAACAATAAAATAAAAATTATCTATTACATATTAAGCTCAAACTTATCATGACTAACTATATAATGAGAAATTCAAAATTACAAAACTAATAAAGTTATATTTATTTATAAAGTACACCAGTGCCTCTGTTGGTGGTTCAATTTAAATACAGCAAAGTTCCGCTACTCTATACTGTACCCTAATATTTCGCTGCACATTCTAAAGTTATTGGAAAAACAGTAAAAATACTAATCGTTAATTTGAAATTATTAAATTTTTTATGGCGTTGGTATGACACTTACTATGTCACCTTGAAAGTCGAAGGAGCAAGTAATATTGCCCAAAGCTAGCGATATTGATGTGTTATTGGCAATGTTAGCAATATCAGTGGGTTGAAGAATCCAGCAATGATTTCACAAATGTTAGCAAGGCTATCTATGTTGCCATGAATGTTGGCGATGTTAGTGATGTTGCCTGAAATTTCCTAGAATCAAGTGGTGATGTTGCGAACATTGAAAATGCTAGTGATATCTCCACAACAGTGACAAATTCAGTGATACCACACAAGTCGTCAATTTTTGTAATGTTGCCGCAAACATTGCAAACAGTGGTGAATATAGGTTAGTGATGTCTCTATAAGCAACAGAGGATATTTCAATACACTAAAATATTGCAGCAACATTTTCATCGATTCCTGTGATTGCGGCAACTTTGTTATTATCTCTTACTTAGGCTGCAATAACTTCATCATCTCTCGTTATCATGGCTATAACACCAACATCATTTGCGAACAGAACTACACAAACGTGAACCAATTTTGCTAATGATACGTTGACATTATAAAATCCGCTTATGCTGAATTTCCATTGATGCAAGTAGGGATCGGTCCCAGACAGTTTGGAATAACGGGACACTCTACTCCTACTGTCTATTCATGTAAACCTAATTATAAATTTTACATGGGAATGGGATATATGGGCTACTTATATACAAAGTCAAAGATACAATACAAACACATCAGTCCACTTCAGCTTGAGTGTACTGCAGACATACTGAGGAAGGTTAGAGCCTCTGCAGCATCCAACTCCTCTCTGTGCCTTCCTCTGGTCCTGAGTCTGCCCCGGGGTCTACGAGGCTTCCTGGCGGCCAAGGGAGGACATCCTCCCCAGCAGTGGAGGTTGGGGCTTGAGGAGAGTCTAGGACGGAACCTTGCGGCGCTCTCCAACCACTTGACCAGAGCTGACGTCACTGGTTTCTCTGTAGACAGTGATTCACTCCAGCAATTATCATTGTTGTTGATTGGGTCTACCCTCGATGTCGGAGAGGATTCTTGGTTGGATCCTGGGAAGATAGTTAAGCTTACTATTTGTAATTGGTAGTGAAATACATTTTGTTTTGAGGATTACATGCCTAAGAAGCTCTGGAAAAAGTTAAGTCTACTGTTGAGCAAACTATTGCAAACAAATCAAACTCACAGTTGCTTGTACACAGAGAGGATACACTCCATGGTACACTCTGCACAGTGCTCGCCTTTCGGTCTCCTCCTTGCTCGTCAAGTATATATCCGCCCCAACATATTAGAGCTGAAAGTGTGCAGTTGTCCATAAGCGTGTTTGCTCTGTACCTACTTCTCTGTGGTTTCAGAGACAAGCGGCAAGTAGAATTAGACATGGTGATGTTGGATTAATTTGTTAATAGCAAGTGCAGGTTCTTTTACTTTTCCACAACCTTGCTTTTTACCTACTGTAACTTTAGAATCCTTCACACCCTAGGAAAAGAAGAGATCCAGACATCAAAAGTAGTATGTTTTTCCTATTGGATTAGTAGCTCCTCAAATAATGTTTGTTTGGATATTTGCCCAAAGATTACACATTTACATTTCCAACAGCCCAATACTATGTCCCTTCTGACACATATTTTATTTAGTCCCTACCTGAGAGAGGTCGATGCTGCAACTTGTAGTCAGTCTCATCCCAGATGCTGTCCCTGGATGAGATGCTGAATTGTTCACAGTTACTTTTGCCTCGGACTTGATGATTGTACCCTGTGATCAGATGACCCCAGCCCTCCCCTGGGGAGTTTTGACGCAATTTCCTCCTCCAGTTGGCAAACCAGTTGCATATCTGAACATTAAATGTACAAAATATTTACATTTATGTTTTGTTTACATTTTTGCTGTTACATGAAATTTATATTTTTTACCTTAACATTTTCCTTAGCTTAGCCACAAGGACATAAATCTTTGAAAGGGCATTATGTTTACAATGTTAAATATAATTAATGAACATTACTCTTTTTACTTCAAACTTTTAACATGATAGCAGAAAACATTGGCGCTTATGAAAAGGGACGGGGTAGTAGGTGCCATTTCCATTCTCAAACATGAGAAAAACTGAATTTACTTAGCTTTTCAAGGTTTCAAAAAGATTGAAGTGACAAATAATAACGCATATAACTAAAGCAGATTTTTAATATCATTCTGGTTTGTTTATAGACAGGAAATAATAATGTTCCAACAAAACCGCATCATGACTGTATACAATGTATATATCTTTCAATGTCTTTTAGAAATTAAAGGCAAATGAAGTGCACCTTTTGAGAAACAACCAAGTACATAACTATGCCACAAGAAATTGTTTAAATGTTTTTGCACATAGACACAGGCTGACCAGAACAATTAAATGCTTCCCTGTTTCAGGTTACAGATTTTTCAACCATCTACCAGTAGCCATAAGGGACTTGCCTATTTCAAGGTTCAAGGCAGTAATGAAGGACTGGTTGATAAAAAACCCTTTTTATGACCTGATTGAATTTTATAAAGTAGGACTACCAGTTTTGTAATGCTCATGCACTGACTGCCTTGCATGGCTATTTTCTTGCCTGTTTTTTTTTTTTTTTTTTTTGCATGGTTTTGCTACAGTTTTGTTTTGCATGGTTTTATTTGTTTCCTTATTATTATATTTATCTAACTTGCATTTATTTGTGAATCAAGAGATGGACTATTTATTATTTACTTTGTATTGTAAGTGACTTAGCCTATTGCTTTTGCTTAATGGCCAAATAAATCATTGAATCATTGAATATTTTAAAGTGATTTACAGTTGTAAGTAGGCCTACTTGTTTTTGGAGGAGAGGAGAACCATTGCATCTAACCCCTTGAACCAGGAAAGAATGGATTGCCTACCCTGAAGAACTGTGACGCCCATGGCAGAAAAGCGAATATCATGTTAAAACTACCACAATAACATACTACAACATTACTGTACTATTGATTTAGCAAGTTTTATTTTACCTGCATATAGGTTAGTCCTGTTTGTAAAGCAAGTTCTTTCTTCTCATTTCTGCTGGGATATGGATGTTTCCTTCTTCTCACAAGCCACTCCTTCAGAACCTTCTTAATTTCAGGTGTGAACAATTGTTTTTTACATCTCACATTCTCCACCACTTTCCTAGTAATATCAGTAGTTAGTTATTAATAACAATATTTACACTAAGTCAAAGTCATCTATAACAATAGACAAGCACGATTCTTTAAAACATTTTTTCTCAGCTCGTGTGCATCACAGGAAAAATCTACGCATACTGTTTGAAATATATTATCCTGTAAATGTGCAGAATCCCTTTATAAATTAAAATAAGTTTGAAAATAAGCACAAAAAATGAATTTCAAATAAAAATAAATTAACTTGGGCTTTATGGGTTGCCATCCTGGTGACGAAATCTAATCTAATTTTGGCAAATTAATTCCATGCACTATACCATTAACATCTTCATCAAAACACATTTTCTTCCTTCCCTATAGCCACAAACCTAAATGATATTCGTCAAACTTAATGTAGCCTAATTTGAATATGGAATAAATCTAACATGTTAAGGAAATATTTTTGTTCAAATCCAATCAGCAAAAAACAAAATTTGCCAATCTGCAGGTTTGCTGCAACGGGGGTGTTTATAATAATTACCAACCATGGTAACCAATGTAAACTATTAGTTGATTTTGATTTTGTGTCTAAAACCATAAAATTGGAAACTCCAAATCTCCTATCCATCTCTTCAAAATTAATTTAATATAAACAACCACTATGCTATACCCTGCCAACACTCAATTCTCAATTTATAGTTGACTTAAAATACAAAATACTTATTTTCCTATGGTCCTCATTTCAGATAAATGTAGTACATTAATTAAGTCCAGTTCTCCACTATGCAAATGTTGATATAATCACTTCCATACATCACAACTTATATTATTGTAGAACACCAATTTCAAATATACTATTTTATAAATTCTTTACCTGTATTTTATATTTCTCAATGTTCTACCAGTTTTGGTCATTATGGGTCCATCCCAAACCTTTTTCTCCTTGCAATCATGAAATTCTCTGTCTTTTGTCCATTCCGAGGGAGTATTGTCATCAGGGAGCCAACATTTCACGTCCACAATAATTGAAGAAGAACCCCTTGGACTTGGAGAAGATGAAGATGCAGATTTGGACATACAATACAGTTATTCCCAGTGGTATCATGGGTTTTCTAAAACATAAATACATAAAAAATAATGATTTTCTTTTTATTTACAGGCAATTTTAGACAATATGTTCATGGTTCATATTAGGCAGTTTTAAACATTCCTCACTCTCTACATAACAATTTGGGCTATCATTAACTGTTTAGTTTATTATCTTTAGGAAGATAATTTATTCTCCACAATAACTCTGAATTTTTATATCCCATCTTCTTTGCCGTTTGTTTTCCATTTTTTTCGTGGATCTTACTGTTTACAAAATAAACCATAAGATTTTTTATTTACATGAATATTTCTTTGATTGAATGTTTTTAAATGCACCAGCCCTTGTAAGTAGGGCCTCAGGGAACATTATAACAGAGAGTCGGTAAAGCAGTCTAGTAGTTCACTGCCCCGCCACCAGAATGCACTAGTTATACAGAAACCGATCATATTTTGTGGTAAACATTTTAAAACGTGTTATTTCTGTATAACAACGTTAATAAAACTAAAATAATGAAGCTGAAAATGTATAGGCTAGTTTGCTAGCTTTGGCTTCGAAGTTATCATTCATAAATTAAATATAGTCCTATGTCATCATAAGGAATTTGATGTTTTAATTCCATAACAATACACAGTACACAGTAATACAGTAATGTATTACTGTAATTTAAATTATGTGTTCGTTGTCGAAAACATTACACTTAAACAGCAATAACATCATAAACGTATACACGTGTAATTAATTACATTATTTTCTTTTAATATTTCAATCTTTTCAATTTTTCAGGGTTTTCTTTTAATAATGTTTTAACAATTGTATATAATCTTTATTACTTTCAGTATACATATCCTTTAATTTTCTTTTCAATAAATGAATATTACAACGTTAAATTGTGTCGTCTTTAATTATTTAGGTACACGAAGTTTTTTTCATTTATTTATTATGTACTAGCTGTGTGCCCGTTCTACGCACGGGGATCTTATTGTAGTCAGTTATTGAAACCTTTTTATTAAGAACAGAATTTGGTTTGCATATTTTCAGATATGCTGGCAAAACTATTATACAGTATATAAACCTTCGCAAATACAGTAACTGACAGTTTCAAGCCAAAACAAATGCTTCGAAATTAAATGTAACCTGGGTCGTGTTGGTCCATATGTTAAATCCAATGATTAAACTAAAAAATGCTTTATAGATCTATGAGGCATAGCCCTAATGTAGGCCTATAATTGAAAGTTACCTTCCACAATGGTTAAAAGTATTTAAGGTACTACTTCATCCTCCCAATTTAACACTTTATTCGTGTTGACATTTTCATTATAAAGGTACTTTTGTCCTTTCCGTGAAACACTGAGAAATAAGGACATTAATGCTTTACTAACAGACATACACACAAAAATACAGAACTTAATTAGGGGGTTTGCTACGCTTTAAGCATAACAAAGTACTTGTAAAATTAGTATCTAAAATATTTTGTTAATGTCATCAAATTTCATCATAACAATGTATATTTGCTTGGACCGATGATGACCCGAAATGACGGCTTACTATATGAAATGAAGACGACTGGTCCAGGGTGGTCCAGCCACCCTGGTATAGACGATTGGTAATTTATAGTAAATATTACCAAAATAGGCCACTAACTATTGATACATAAACAACGTAAAGCGTTTAAACAATTCATTATGGTTAGTTGAATAAATGTTTTACTAAAGTGCGTTATCGTTTTCTTAGCATTAACTAACATTTTGGAATCAAGAAAGAAAAAGCAAAAATTGTACAGTTAAGACATCAATTAAATTGAATACGCCTGTAATAATAAATAAGGTGCAACACCAACGATAACTAATTTGTAAAGTACAGTGATGTGTTGGAACTTAAAAATGATTCTTGCTACTACCAATAGTACCAACGGTTCTAAGGAATAGAACCGGTACCAAAAACCAACGTTCACAGTTGAGAACTATAGTACAGCCGACCAATTATATGAGTTAATCAAGTCCCGAGGTTATTGATCTCTTGGTTTTTGATTTTCTCGTAAAACGTTTTAAAACGGCAATCAAAGTTATTTCCCAATAATTGCTTTATTTGTAAACAACTTTTAATGTAAACTTATCTGTGTCAGTTTTTAAAAAAACAACCTCATACAAACAACTTTTTGTTATTTAATAGATTAGGCCCTACGTACCTATTCTCTAAACAATGATTGGTAAAGGCTATCTAATAACATTAGAAGGAAATGTGACAAAAATCACACAACGTTGGGTTTTTGGACGTTTGTAATTTTATTTCTTAAGTAGGTAGGCCGTGTATTCTAGGGAAAAGTACCGGTATCAAGGATCGTCGTCGAACAGTTTGTTATGAATAATTGGGTAGGCGTACGTACCCAAGAGCATGGCTGTATGGTCCAGCGATTGCATCACACGGTGAGTAGGTACTATTGACTATATATATATAGTCAATGGTAGGAACAGAAAATAACACATTGTTATAATCAACCACTGCAGTTGTGATTTTTTACTTACCACTTTACACAACCGCCATTGAAGCGCCGTGTCAATGAGTGGAAACCATATTTCTAAGCCATTGGCGACGATCATTATTAAATTTAAAGTTTCCCAGCCGTATACAACACTGATTCAAGGTCTTCTTTCTGGTTATCAAAACTCAAGAACAATTTATACACAAAGAATCTCTGGTTCCTGAACTGGATGATGCCTAGTTATTTAATTTCATTTACACGGTTACACTATTACACTATATTATTTCACTTTCGATTAATTAAATCCGTTATGTAAGAAAAACGTTTTTAATCACTTGGGATTTACATTCAAAACGTGATTGAAAAAGGTTGCGGTATTTGTAAACAACATTTGTAAACATATCAGTGACAGCTAGGAAAAATAATCTTGATCCGAACAGCTGTTCGTTATTTCATAGACGATTATGCAATAAAAATTGGACGAAAACTTGACATAAATCGCACAAAACTACATTTTTGAACGTTCGTAATATTATTTACAAAGTAGTGAGGCCATATTTTAATGGCTAAAGACAATCTCGCCAATCCAGTGAATACATTAAAATGACTTGGATCTTGATAGGTACTCTCGTTTTCCAGGAGAAGATAGCGTAAAATGCCATCTTGAGTGTTACAGACAAAGGGAAAGACAGACAGACAGACAGACAGACAGACAGACAGACAGAAATTGAGATAAGACTCGTTTATGCTTATTTAATGTATAAAACGTAAAAATAACCTAAAAATATATAATTCTGAGCAATGTACAGACAAAACTCTAATTTTATTTATATAGATTAATGTATATAATTCATACAAACGTATCACGCGATTGCTAAACAAATGGGCTACAGCAAATAATTTGTGGTCAAATTAACAGTGTCGCAGTTGTAGGCCTAATTAAACAATGAGCGCAGTAGATTTCTTCAACATAGTTATATAGGTAAACCGTTATATTATTGTATTATGCGTATCGAAAAGTGTTAGGTTCATTTACAAAGGACGTTTAATAAAGAAGGTTACTTAATGAATTGACTAATAATTTACTTTTAGTGTATGTGACAGATTTAAATTAAACAGGTAACGACTCTTACATTCAAAGAATCTAACTTTAAGGTCCAAATACTTTATCAATGTTATTCCTGCAGAATAAATTAAATATTTCTCTGATAATATTAGCTTCTTGAAATAAAAATTAATAAGAACCACAAATAAATAAGTCGAACATTTAATCTGTTAAAATATATTTTATAGTTGTTTCGAGCTAGAATAAATCGAAGCGTGATAGTGATTTCATTTAAAAATAAAAAAAGATTGTATTGTTTTTAAATATACTAGTGTACATGTTGCTCGAAATCGAGCAATTGCAAAGAAGTACTGGAGTTATTTATAAACAAATAACTTGTTTAAAAACTAATAACAGCCATGATTTCCGGTGGTTTTAAAAGAGTCGACTAAAAGATTATTAACTAATGGAAATACTCACAATTAATTTACATAACAGTCCTATTCAGGTATAAAGGGTTAATTTTTAACTATCAAACTTCCCATGGACGGGAAAAGGTAAGCTTACAATTCAATTCAACGTAAAAAGGCTGTCAGCTTTTATAATGTACCGTACCTAAGTTATTTAGCCAATTTGTAGACAATAAGGTGTAGGCTACTTTAAACTCTACAGAACAAAGTTAGGAAAAAACTGGCAGAACTCTGAAATGGTGTTATTTATCATAGGCATACTTATATGGAAAATCCTAAAAATAAAAATTCAATATTTAATAACTCATATCATTAAACACAAACCAACATCCAAAACTATACATATTTTTAATACAACATAGATAATTTACACTTTGACTGTATACAATTAACATATGTTCTTCTTCTCACTTTTTATTTTTGCTTCGCAACGGGAAAAATCTGTTTCATAATCACTGAAATAGATTTATAATCTATCATAACGTTTAAGATTAATTAAGCCCCACCACATAGTTGTTTTATTTTTTTTATCAGCTGTCTGAAATTGTGAAATAGGCATTTGACATTTCTAGTTGTTAACATTTAAATGTCAAAGCAAATGTAAACATTGTGAATTTTCTCATGCTTCCATGGAGACCAATTATTATTATTTAATTTCTAACAACAGCTGGAGTTTCAAAACAATTTTTGTTTCCCATTTTAATCTTATGGAGAAATACGAAACTTTAAAGAGTCCCAGGGCCTCACTCTCTAATTATTTACCTAAAAAGAAAGTTTCCTGCACAACTTCACGTTACGCTCTTTCCAATGACATCAAAAACATGTCAATCGGTTCAGTAGTTTTGGAGGAGTAATTGTCACAAAAATCCTGCTTGCGTATTAAATAAGTACGAGAGGTCGTCCAGTGGTCGAAACTCGACCAAAAATATGTAATGTAAACTTACTCACTTCTCTATTTCACACTGTAAATAAAACATGTGATTGGAGTTTCTTCCATTTGTTTTGATTTTCTGTTTATATTTCGTTGTTATTTCGTCACCAGCATGGCAACGCATAAGATCCATGTTAATTTTTGAAAATTTTTAAACTCATTTTTGTGCTTATCTTTGAGCCTATTTAAATTTATAAAGGGATTCTGCACACCTACAGGAAAATAGCTTTCTAACGGTATGCGTAGATTTACCCCACGATGCACACAAGCTGAGAAAAAAGGTTTTAAAGAAACGTGCTTGCCTATTAATATATAGACTAGAGGTCGTCCAGTGGTCGAAACTCGACCAAAAATATTTAATGTACAGACTTCTTTATTTTCATTCCACACTTTGAATAGAACATGTGATTGGAGTTTCCTTCATTTGTTTTGATTATCTGATTATATTTCGTTGTTATTTCGTCACCATGGCAACTCATAATATCCATGTTAAATTTTTCAAAATTTTAAATTCATTTTTTGTGCTTATTTTTGAGCCTATTTTAATTTATAAAGGGATTCTGCACACCTACAAGAAAATAGCTTTCTAACAGTATGCGTAGATTTTCCCTACGATGCACACGAGCTGAGAAAAAAGGTTTTAAAGAAACATGCTTGCCTATTAATATATAGATAGATAGATAGATATAGATTTTTAAAGCCTCCAGGAATTACCTATATTTTGAGGTTTTCGTGTTCTTTGGACGTCACATATAGATATGCAATATCATAGACAAAAATAATTAAAAATAGAACGTCAGCTGTGCTGCGGTTACCATAGGTTCTGGCGCACACCGCTGGGAGCGCCATGTAGTTACGGCGTTAGCACTACGTAACTACAACGGCGCTCCCAACGGTGTGCGCCAGAACCTATGGTAACCGCAGCACAGCTGACGTTCTATATTTAATTATTTTTGTCTATGGCAAATATGCACGTGTCCCTGCGCTTATATCAGCTGTGCACTTCGATTGGTCATTAATTTATTTTTAACCTAAACTGCAGCCCTTGGTTTGGCATCGGTCCCCATAACTGCAGCCAACATGGTGCCAACTGTCAAACTGACGTTACCTACTAATTAAAAATATAATATTACTAATCTTATCTTACTAATATTATAAATGTGAAAGTTTGTGTGTTTGTTTGTTTGTTTGTTTGTTTGTTTGTTTGAAGTTCAATCACGCATAAACCACTGGACGGATTGGGCTGAAATTTGGCATGATGATAGCTTACATTCCCGATTAACAGATAGGCATATTCTTATCTCAAAAATCCTTTCGGGCTCCGCCCCAGTGGCTCTGTAATTCCCCATGTTAACCTTATGAGTATTCATATTTAAAGGGAATTAAAGAATTTAGTCAGCTGTTTCAACTAAAAAAGTTGGTTCTATGATATGGAAAAGCATTAAAAAGTTATAAGATTTACCAACAGGGTGCAGCACTATATTTTTTTTGCATTTATGAAAACAGCTAATTTGAACTAAGCAGCAACAAAAAACTGTGATTCGCAATGAGAACTGTCAAAGTAGGATTGTTTACAGTTATGTATATGTTTTTCATTTCATGAATAATTTGTGATATTTTGCGAATTGATAATTTATTTTTCTCTATTGTTTAGGTAAAGTGGTAGAACATTATGGCTATGGTAGATGTGTAATACTATAGAATACTGTAAATTTAAAAAAGCAAATTTTATCAAACTGTGTCCTCCACCCATTGCAATCGCAAAGCTTGAGTATAACTGCAATAAGAATTTTATACTTATATTCCAACCCCGTACGAAGGACGGGTACTCTGCTAGTATTACTATATTTAGCATTATCAATATGTACTCAATATGTAATCAAAATAACTCTTGAATTGGGTTAACATTTTAAACGTCAAAATTACATGCAGAACTATACTAATTTAAAACCATGTTTTCTTCTTCCAAACTTATTCATTGTATTTACAATTCATAAGTGCCAGGAAAGTAAGTTACCTTAAAACCTATAATCAAAATAATTACTCTGATCAATACTTGTTACATGTTAAATTTTAGGTAAGGTAATCAAAAATATGATGTACTAACAATTTAAATATATTATACTTTCCGTGTGAAAACATAATAGAAAACACCATTTCTGTAACTTACGTAACCAGCATTTAGATAAGTAAATAGCAATTTCTCGCAGATAAGTTTTTTAGCCTAAAAATTCGTGTAATCGTTATTAGTTTTATTTTTATCATAGCACAAATTGCTTATAGATAACCTTTAGAAACTTTCCACACCTCCATACCTACGGTTGAGTTTTAAAATATTTTTATTTATATTTAGCTAGTGTAAGACTTATATCCCGACCTACCTTAAGCAGTTCCAATGCACGTCCTCGGGCTATGCACAGCGCGGACTGATGGTTTAGGCTGCGCATGACTATTTTGGGAGACCACTGCAGAGCCTCCCGCGTTTGACTTTTTTTTCGAGATTTTTTCTTATCGACAGTCATTACCATTTAAATTAGGTATTTAAACATTTAAAGGACTAAAAGAGGTCGAACAGACTTTGTGTAGTTGTCAAAAGCATGTGGCATATTTATCACTGTTTGAGTGTAGAGATATTGAATTGATTTTAGATTAAGTTTAATTTTAAGAAAATTTATGAAACTGCATTAAACTGAAGTAAGTTGAGTGAAGAGTGTTTTAAAATCTACACTCATGCTTAAGGTAAATAGCATTTTTTTCGAAAGCATACCAAAGAAACTTTTCAATTTTAAAATTGATTGGAAATGCGAATTTAAATGTGTAGCTTACTGTCCCTACTACTTTCTGCAAACTTGTAAATGAAAATAGAACAATGAATTCTGTTAAATATTTATCATTATACATTAACCTCCTCTGTATGAGGGGGTTGTGAGACTTGGTAGAGAATGTGTTAAAAACCTATTTAGTCTGTGGATTACGATGGATTTATATTATGGAGTTTTTTTTATTGTACGTTTTGAAGTTCGAAACAAGTCTTATCTCAATTTTTGTGTGTCTGTCTGTGTGTTCGTATGTTTGGCGGTCGGTGACACCTTAGATTTTCATTGCGTACCCCGGAAAAAATCAGAGCACCGATCAAGATTATAATTTCCTTGTATTCACCAAATTCTCAAGAATGTCTTCACTGTTGGTCTAGCTTTTATGTAAAAAAATACCCCAGGTGTACGCATTTCATCATACACTCCTCTTAAAATTGTATGTTTTATTTACGTGGGGCTGTCAAAAACTTCCAAACCATATTTAACGGTTATTAGCATTAAGATCTGGGTCAGTGACGTCATTTGTTTATGTTAATGATTTATACCGTTTCTGTTCTAATATTCGTGTTGTTAACTGAAACTGAGACAAAATTCTAAACATCGATCAACCACATATCTTAACAGCTGGTTAGTAACAATATCTATATAAATAAAATTAGAGTTTTGTCTGTACATTGCTAAGAATCATAAACTTTTAGGTTATTTTTACATTTTATACATTAAAGAAACCGAAACAAGTCTCATCTAAATTTCTGTCTGTCTGTCTGTCTGTCTTCCTGTCTGTCACGGCCCAAGAGCCATTTTACGCGGCCTTCTCCTGAAAAAACGAGAGTACCTATCAAGTTCCAAATCATTTAAATGTATTCACTGGATTGGCGAGATTGTCTTTAGCCATTAAAAAATCGCGTCACTACTTTTTAAATAGAATGACGGACGTTTAAAACCCCAATTTTGTGCGATTTTTTGTAAAGTTTTCATCCAATGTTTATCACATATTCATCTATGAAATAACGAACAGCTGTTCGAATCCAGATTATTTCTTCTAGCTGTCACTGATATGTTTACATTGAATGTTGTTTACAAATACCGCAACCATTTCCGATCACGTTTTGTGTGCGTTTTGTCCATAGTAAAAATAAAAGTAGGCAACCGTGTATTTATGTTTTATTTGTCATGTGTATAAGTGTACAGTTCGTGTATGTGTTTCAAAAACTCAAAGACGCACCTAATGGGGAAGCTCAAGACCTTATATTAGGACTGATGATGGCGATTTAATTTCGCCGAAATGCATCTCCTGTAATAGGATACATTAGGATCGACCGGCGGACACAGGTAATTTAACCTTTTATTGATTGTCATACCAATCCGGAACAACAACAAACAACATAAAATGAAGTTATGTATAATAGTTTGGCCAGCATATCTGAAAACATACAAACCAACTGCTGTTCTTTACACTGTATATAGGAAGGTTTCAAATGAATACTATAAGATCCCCGTGCGTAGAACGGGTACACAGCTAGTGTTTTAATTCTAATATTGTGTCACAATTGATTTTGTGTTCAAACCATTATGTTCTACCACTGCAATTCATAAGTAAATTACTATCAAACAATCTGCAGTTTTTAATTCAGTTTTTCGTTATACTGCAGCATAAACAGCAGTTGTAATACACACATTTGTCCCAGTCCCATGAAACACGGCCTGTGAAATTTGTGGCTGTGTGTTTTTGAAATGACGTTTTGCAATTATATTCACAATAGATGTGGTTGATCGGTGGAAGAGACACATGACAAAGCTGAAATGGAAGCTTGCCAATTTGTGTTTACTTTCTGTTTCGTGTTTTGTAGTGATTTTGTTTTGACGTTTTGAATAGAAACAATGGACATTATGTTTTTCAAGACTAGTCGTAATCTGGGATTTAAATATATCTTCCCCCGTGTTCTATCAACGTAAGCTATATATATTTTTAAAAATTTTACGTCAATAATATTTTAATTTTTAAGGAACGGCCCAAGCGATATTTCATCACTACCTAACGTGTTACTTATATCATCGATTAAACATACCAAGGGAGTATGTTTAATCTATGCTTCTATTAGAGCGTATTGGTAGCCCAATGGCAAAAGGAAATCTATGGGTCTAGAGTCCATCCCCCCGGAATCTTAACACCAACCCCCAGATTTAAAGAGAACACAATAACCAATTGGCTAATTCGACAATTTGTTATTTTTAGCAAATTTCCCATATAGGGAATGAGCTGTTATTTACTCAGTCATGGTAAGATCTAGACCCAGGACCGATTTACTTTTTCGTTTTGATGTCCCCCAGAGGTCAAAAACAACATCCGTTCAAATTCATATACTGTATATATTTTGTCCGTTAGCACGTTAACTCGAGCAAAAATCATCCAATTTTAATGAAATTTGATACAAAAGTATAAAAATGCATTTACAGTATTAGAACGAGTCCGCGAACCGGCATGATCAGACCATGGGAACGTGGTTTTATGGGGGTGGGGGTTAATGGGGTAAAAATAGTTTTTATTCTAATTTCTTACCCTCAGAACATAATATTATCCAATTCCTCTCCAAACCATTCTGAAGAGCTTAAAAAACAAATAATTTAGTATATTGAAGTGTTTTTGCACAATTATTGGTCACGTCGAAATTTAAAAATATATTTTACTTAAATTAAAATTAACATTTTATTCTTATGGAGAATAAGTAAACTGTGGTAGTGTGCTTGTTTATGTATATATTTTGATTAAACTTTGTAAATATATTCATTGTATACTAAGTAAAGAAATTATAGATATTTACTCAGAAAAGTGGACATGGTTTTCTCATTCATTTACTCACTCAACTCAATATTTATTTACATTTTTGAAAGTAAACACTAACATTTTATTAATAATTAGAAAACATATGACTTAAATAAAGAAATTATGGTAAAGTCTAACCACTAAGCTATTAGTATTTTAATTTAAAAACACACCTTATTACTCTCCTTGTATCAGCAATCTAGGTACTTGTTAAACCTAATGTTATTTAAATAGATGTAAGTGAAAATCAAATCAGGCAAATGGAAATTCGCTTAGTCTGCAGGTTTTCTGCGGCGAGGGTATTTGTAAAATTGTACTTTAAGGTTTATATTATTTTCTACATATTTGTAATATAGGTAAGCAATAAAACTCGTTTAAAGGAGATTTAAAAGCTAAGTTAATGCTACCACACAAGTACACAATATGTTTATTGAAGTACTGTATATTAAATCTAAAAACGCTCGTATATAATCTCAGCTCATGAAGGACTAGACATAATGTTTGTTCATATTTAGCCTGGGCCTTATAGGTTTATTGGCCGCTATTACATTATTTGCAAGATAACAATAAAAAGGTAAACAAGAGTCGTAACATAAAATGTTTAGTCAACGAATCATCTAAACTATCACATTACAAAATCAGAACAAAAGAGAGGAACAAACGTATTAATATCGTTGAGCATAATTTACAACAAAATGGATAACTATAATTATGGTACCAAGAATGAAGCTAATGCACCATTGACTTAAGATAGGTAATTAATCTAAATATCCATTCCATTTATGTCAACCAAACATGTGTACCATTGACTTTGGATACCGGTACTGCAAGTAGATATTCCATATAGGCGAACCACGTGCACCATTGACTTTTAATATTGCAAGCAGGCAGCATTGTATCCTTAGTAATAAATATGCTATGAAGCACATTACTATTATTATTTCCTTTTAAACCAAATTTCTTTTATTATATCTAAGATTTAATTGTACAGGCATTTTCGCAAAATCATATGTGCACAATAAAGCATTTGACTACAACAGCAATAATAAAGTACATTACTTATTTCCTTCAAAGTACTTCAAAGTATAGTTCATTCATCTTATCCCTAATTCATCTTTAATTTATTTAAGCTTTATCTAGTTGAAGTTTTGTATGTAAAAAGCAGGGTTTGCATTAGTTTACATTTTTTGGTGCAAGTATATTCATCATATTCGATTATTACAGTCATTTTTAGCTATTTTATAACACTCTAAGAGTTGTATTTATCATTTAGTTGTAGGTAACAGTAAAAACTAAATTAATAAATATTTTAATAAATAAAATAAATATTTTGATTAATAAAATAAATATTTTATATTGATACGGAACTCTCAAGTTTGTAACTACCATTGACTATATACCATAAACGTTGGTATATAGTCAATGGTACCTACTACCAAGTACGGTATGTTAATAATCTCATGGGAAGCTCGATACCTTTTTTTTTGTTTTGACTAGTTATACTGTAATAGTTCAGTGAAGACTTGCAATATAAACATTGCATGTCATAATAAATTAAATTACATGGTATGCATAAATACACGACGCACGTATGGTTTAAACTCAAAGATTCTATTTGTCTCGATAGTCACTTTGAGATTGTCGTGACCCACATATATCAAATTAAATCTACTTTTTGTCAGGGATACCGTATTATACCCAACACCCTACTTAGCAACAATGAACACGTGACCGTGAATAACAGGTTGCACTTTAGGGGAGGAAGGTAGGGACGCTAGGGCGTAGCGGCGGACGCGTCAGTAGTGCGGCGACCGGCGACCAGCTAGGGGGTGTAATATCGATCTGTCTGTACCGTCACACTCATTGATAAGATTGATAAGACGGTGACGCAACATTGATAAGCGGCGCATGCGTGAGTCTGATCAGTGAGAGCAGGTCAGTATCAGTGTGCCACAGCCGGCGATACCATGTCTGCTCCTACTCCGCCGACCACGTGCGAAAAGGTCGTGTTGAAAAGGAAAATAACACTACTGAACGGCGTGGCGATCATCATAGGAACCATCATCGGGTCGGGCATATTCGTGTCACCGGCTGGAGTCTACATATACACGAAGTCTGTCGGGGTGTCTTTGATAGTATGGAGCGCCTCAGGGGTGTTCTCTACGCTCGGTGCTCTTTGCTACGCGGAGTTGGGGACGACGATTACGAGGTCTGGGGGAGACTACGCGTACATCCTGGAGGCCTTTGGTGATCTTCCGGCGTTCTTGAGGATTTGGGTGGCGCTTCTGATCATCAGACCGACCACGCAGGCTATAGTAGCCATCACATTCGCTCAGTACGCGGTGAAGCCGTTCTTCCCAGAGTGTGAACCCCCGGCGGTCGCTGTGTCCCTGTTGGCTGCCGGTTGTCTATGTGAGTACAACAGTGCAGTATGGTACAACATTCAAACTTATATAATTTTTTTCTTTTAGGAGAGGTAAAGATGCTCAGGATAACAGATGACCGAGACGAGACTTCTGTAGCTTCTGGTTTCCAGTGAATATCTTATAATAACAAGGTTACAGAGAAATCAGTTACAGTATTTGAGAAACAACAAAAGTCAACAAAATACGTTCAGTAAACAAAACAATGAAAAAGTTAATACGACTCATTGTTTTTATTCATATCTGGAGGAATACGTAAATTTCTAGGAACACATTTATGATAAACTTAAACACAATAATGGTTGATTGTTACGAGCAATCTCAGTTATAGGATCTTCATAGTGTTTACTTAGGTTCAACTATATTGTTTATAAAATTAACAAGTAGACTAACAACACACACCAACATGATTGCAACGTCAACGTTAGTTGGTACGAAAGGGTGTAGTACTACTGTATATTGAAAGAAATGCACAGAAAAGAAGTTGAAATCCACTAACACAACATGATTACACTGCGGTGGATATACAAGTATTTATTTCCGAATTCCGGCCCCAATTTAATTTGTTAAAACTCTGATAGGCTTATTTCTGTTGTAACAACCCTTAAACGTACAACATTATATTTTTTTAACAAGCATTTATTTACAATATATTCTATACTTGAACAATAAGTAAATTTAACATGGGTTAGTTGCACTCCATAAAGTGCACTAACATACAAAAACTTATAAAAAGTTTAACTAAAAACGATTTGGAAGGTCTATTGGATTAACTCTTTTGAGCCTATATGTAGCTTCACTGTTATCGAGGACGTTAACTGCCGGGAAATTTGGATGGCTTTCTAACTTTCTTTGATATTTTTCGCTTTGAACATATAATAAATATGTGAACCAAACGTAAACCTCCAATGGGCATTTAATGGGTTCTGTGTTCAAATCAGCGATCATAAGTTACTTTAGCTTATCAACAAAAACCATACAGTACTTGGCACCGAAGCCATTCATGGGGGCAAGGGTGGATAGTACAGGGGTTGTAGAAGGGGGGAGGGGAACTGAAACTCCGAGGGTGCTACCCTTGTGTGTCGACAGCACTGCTAATATGACGTAACTATTACTGAAAACTGTACAACTAGCTAAAATGAACAATTTAAATAGTTATTGGTTGAGACGAACTTTAGGACATCACGTTTTATTATTACAGCTAAACAATACATAAATACCCCCGCCACAGAAAATCTGCAGACTAAGCGAACTTCAATTTGCCTGATTGGATTTTAACTAAAATATTTTCATAAACAAGTCATATCTATTCCCCTTTTAAATAACATAAGATTTATTGAATATGTAGGTTTGCTGCTATTGAGAAGGTATATTTTGTATGGGATGGTATATTTTTAATTTGATCAAAATATACCCATAAACAAGCAAACTAAGACAGTTTTCTTTTTCTTCATAAGAATAAATTGGAATTAAACCGTACAGTTTTTTTTTTAATTTTCTCTATAACAATACTAGGCCCTAACTCAAAAAACGAGTTTAAGTTAAGTTACTTATTGTTGTGTTTGTTTTACGCCAACGGCGTTTTTCTAGGCTTTCTTTAGAAAACGACCCAAACCCTGGTGTAGAGTTTTTTTAGACACCATCGACAACTTCGATAGCTAATAAATGGCATCTGGGTCCAGTATAGACTTCGATTGGGATTGAACCAGCAGCCATTAGATTTGAAGACAAGCACTACACAACCACTCAATTACCCAAAGAATTTAATAATTTAATATTAACTTTACAACACTGTGTAAACGAAAGTGATTCACAGTAAAGGATAATAATTTTCACCGTTTTTATTGTTACAATGCTTCATTTTTTATTATCACACACATTAAAGGAGAGGTTAGAAGTATTGAAAAATCATGTGTTAAAATTTTAACAAAAAATGTATTTTGAAAAAATTAAATTTTTAATATCAAATCAAATCATTTTATTTGGCCAAAGTAACATTTATACAGTTTGCATTAGCCAGGTCAATACAAATATACACTATACATCAATTACTAATTATAATATGGGTTGAATACTAATTGAATATAAAGTATACCGAAATAACCAAATAGCCATCAAATTGATTAATGCAATAAAAAATAAAAAATATTAACCCTTTATGCGTTCATATTATCAGATAACACAATAAATATAAAAGCCTAATTTTTCAACCAGACTTATTAACACGAACTACACCGTAATCGAAAGTAAACTGATTAAGTTTTTGAAGGATTCATAAGATTACAAAGTGCGACCAGTCATTGTAAGTTGTATGTTTTGATTATTTGTTTGATCAGCTGATTCTTATGTAACACCTGTTGCTCCAACAATGCAATTGTCTTATCATTGTTATCAACAAACCGTGGCTACCGTTGAGGTCCGTGAAGTTGGCGTACCCATATTAGCGTATCCACTTTTGATCATACCAATCGTTGGTTCATCGTTAGTTCTCGATAGTTCCCAAATTTTTTCGTTAGTTCTCAAAAAATAAAAAAGTTATAGCCGATTATAAGTGGGTACGCTAACTTCACACTTCCGGGTTCTAGCACGCGCCGTTTTCTGAGGAGAAATGTTTACATCTATATACCAATCGTTAGTTCTTCGTTAGTCCTCGATAGTTCCCAAATTTTTTCGTTAGTTCTCAAAAAATAAAAAAGTTATGAGGCATACAAAGTGGGTACGCTAACTTCACAATTGTACAATTTCCAGCGGGAACCGTTTTTTTACTATAAATGCCTATATCTATATACCAATCGTTAGTTCTTCGTTAGTTCTCGATAGTTCTCCAAAATTAACGTTAGTTCTCAAAAAATAAAAAAGTTACGAAGCATAAAAAGTGGGTACGCCAACTTCACAGTTATAGAATTTCCAGCGGGCACAGTTTTTTTACTATAAATGACTATATCTATATACCAATCGTTAGTTCTTCGTTAGTTCTCGATAGTTCTCCAAAATTAACGTTAGTTCTCAAAAAATAAAAAAGTTACGAAGCATAAAAAGTGGGTACGCCAACTTCACAGTTATAGAATTTCCAGCGGGCACAGTTTTTTTACTATAAATGCCTATATCTATATACCAATCGTTAGTTCTTCGTTAGTTCTCGATAGTTCTCCAATATTAACGTTAGTTCTCAAAAAATAAAAAATTTAAGAGGCATACAAAGTGGGTACGCTAACTTCACAATTGTACAATTTCCAGCGGGAACAGTTTTTTTACTATAAATGCCTATATCTATATACCAATCGTTAGTTCTTCGTTAGTTCTCGATAGTTCTCCAAAATTAACGTTAGTTCTAAAAAAATAAAAAAGTTACGAAGCATAAAAAGTGGGTACGCCAACTTCACAGTTATAGAATTTCCAGCGGGCACAGTTTTTTTACTATAAATGCCTATATCTATATACCAATCGTTAGTTCTTCGTTAGTTCTCGATAGTTCTCCAATATTTACGTTAGTTCTCAAAAAATAAAAAAGTTAAGAGGCATACAAAGTGGGTACGCACACTTCACAATTATAGAATTTCCAGCGGGCACAGTTTTTTTACTATAAATACCTATGTCTATATACCAATCGTTAGTTCTTCGTTAGTTCTCGATAGTTCTCCAATATTTACGTTAGTTCTCAAAAAATAAAAAAGTTAAGAGGCATACAAAGCGGGTACGCTAAATTCACAATTGTACAATTTCCAGCGGGAACAGTTTTTTTACTATAAATGCCTATATCTATATACCAATCGTTAGTTCTTCGTTAGTTCTCGATAGTTCTCCAAAATTAACGTTAGTTCTCAAAAAATAAAAAGTTACGAAGCATAAAAAGTGGGTACGCCAACTACACAACTATAGAATTTCCAGCGGGCACTGTTTTCTGACTATAAATGCCTGTATCTATATACCAATCGTTAGTTCTTCGTTAGTTCTCGATAGTTCTCCAATATTTACGTTAGTTCTCAAAAAATAAAAAGTTTCGAAGCATAAAAAGTGGGCACGCCAACTACACAACTATAGAATTTCCAGCGGGCACTGTTTACTGACTATAAATGCTTATATCTATACACCAATCGTTAGTTCTTCGTTAGTTCTCGATAGTTCTCCAATATTTACGTTAGTTCTCAAAAAATAAAAGTTACGAAGCATAAAAAGTGGGTACGCCAACTTCACAACTATAGAATTTCCAGCGGGCACTGTTTACTGACTATAAATGCCTGTATCTATATACCAATCGTTAGTTCTTCGTTAGTTCTCGATAGTTCTCCAATATTTACGTTAGTTCTCAAAAAATAAAAAAGTTACGAGGCATACAAAGAGGGTTCGCTAATTTCACAACTATACAATTTCCAGCGGGCACCTTTTTCTGACTATAAATGCCTATATCTATATACCAATCGTTAGGTCTTCGTTAGTTCTCGATAGTTCTGTAATATTTACGTTAGTTCTCAAAAAAATAAAAAAGTTACGAGGCGTACAAAGTGAGTATGCTGACTTCAAATTTATGAAATTTCCTGCGGGCACCGTTTTCTGACTAAAAACGCTTATATATATTTACCAATTTTTAGTTCTTCGTTATGTCGTGTTAGTTCCCCAATATTATTACTAGTTCTTAAAAAATAAAAAGGCAATAAGGTCTTAAACGTGGATATGCCAACCTCAAACCCAAATCATTCCTAGCGTGCACCCTTGTCTGACTAAAAGTGCCTATATCTTAATATTAATCGTAAGATGGGCTCACTCATTTATTTTGTTAGTTCTAAAAAAAATAAATAAATATACGTATAGCCAATAATCAATAGATAAACTTATTTAATGCTTCTGATTTCTAGCGCGCACCTTCATTCAACGAAAAATTCTTACAGTATACTACTATACAACTAAATAAATATTGTCTCGACCCCGCCATACCCAATACGCCATGCTAGTAATGTGTTGTACACATTTATTCCATCCACTACTCCAGTC